CTGAACTGAATTCTTAAGACTGACAACCGCACCAAAATACCCCATGCAAATAGCAAGCTTTGCCATGTGGCAGATGCTTTGACAGTAGTAGCCTACACTTTGTTCTGTTATAGTGAAGTTTAATAGTAGATTCACTTTCATGCAAAACCCTTGTTAACTTGCTTCTAGAATGTATTTAGCATTATTTACACATTGTCTGTTAAATAACCCCATAATTCAGAGATTCCCGTGACATTTAAGGAGAAAACATACATACGACAAAATGTACTGGGTTTGGAATATGCTTGTTTACCACAAGACAGCAATGTTTATTACTATTTGAAGTTAGACATGGAGTTCCTTATATGGGCATGATGCCAAACACAGATTGATGCACATCTATTAAACTTTTCTAAAATTTCATTTTTAATAATGTAGGCTAGGATTTCTCTTGTGACATAAAAAAATCACACTCTTTCAACTCACCATTTCAATATGAAAGCAATTAGGACAATCATCCAACCCTATAGCATAGACCCCTGACCAGACAATGCATGCTTATGTCTGGTTGTTATGTAACGTCCAGCCAGGACAGCGCACAGGACGGAGAGGCTCATGTCAGCGGTCAGTAAAGAGGCCTACGCGCCACAGCTCATGGCGAACTCTTACGCGCATCTCAACACTGATTTTATTTATGTGCTCTCATGCTGACAGTTACCGTGAGAAGTTTGCCTCCGGGGGAGAACACGGCCACAAAAAATAGCTAATGGGCAGGATTAGCTTGCTAATGAGCAGCTCTGGAGGAGGAGACCCAAACAATGCGCTCCCTCAGCATCTGCCGAGGCACATCGCTGCTTAAGAGCACCCACCAACATGTGACTGGGACCAAAAAACAAAACACATGGCTAGGCAGGCCTGATTGTCTCATGATGCCTTTCTTTCAAGGCCTGTGTAGGGAGCCATTTCCTTTCTTTTCCCCTGATAATTCACTTTCTACAGCACCAACCACTCACCATTTCACAAGCAACAACAAAACTGCTCCTGTATCAGCATCCAGCTCCTTCATACATTAGAGCAAGAGGTATGGATTTCACATCACAGTGACACATCCCAGACGGACACCAGATGCTGTTGCGTAATATATCATAAACAGATACTACCTGGAACATGATCACAGACCACAAGGGGTTTGAAGCACTTGAATCAGCTTAGCAACAAATGAACTCCATATCTGCATGTTTTTATATTTTCCAGCAATTTCTGCACGCTGTTTTGGACATATCTACAGTACTGACCTTAAGATCCATGCACAAAAATAACAGAACATAAAAATAGCACTGTACATTAATGTTCCTGACTTGCAAAATCATTTGTTACTTAGTTCAATGGCTCTGATGTCTTATAAAAAGAAGACATTACCAATTTGGCATGCCTTTCTGCCTGGGCTTTGATATCTGCCTCCAATCTGAGCTAGCATGTCTCAGGAAAAGTTTGAGTGTACAGAGGACAATTCACTTAGCCCGTGACCCCATGATGGCACAATTGCTGAAAATAAAATTGTATGAAAAATCAAAGCCTTGTGACGTTAATTGCATTTGGTAGTAGACAGAAACCTAGAATGCTGCTATACACAAATGTGAATTCAACATTTCATGCTGTAGGGAGAACATAACTGTAAGCAAAAAGTAGGCCAAGCATCTTGTCAACCTCCCTCCCCCAAAGGAGCAAAAGCATGAGGCGAGGGGCATCAACACACACACTCAATCCCTTGCTGTTGCTCTCTCTCTCTGCAATATGCACATGCCTTTACTTTCACATCTGGAAACCTGCATTCAAACTATTACATATTGCAGTAAAAGGGTAAAAGCTCTGCTGTCTCAGCAGAACCTGTTGGGTAACGTGGAACAGAAAACACTCTGTAAATGTCCTGTAAACAAATCTAATTCTGACTAGAAGCAGCTTTTAGAACATCACAGTTATAATAAATAAACAAATAAATGATTTTCCTGAAACATAAGATTTTTACTTTAGTACCTTTATATGTAAATGTACAAAAAAAGTCCAAAATCTTGTTACATTAACTTACTTTTTCCTTCTTACCATTTCAGAAGAAGCAAAGTTCTATTACAACAGTGACAATATGCAAACTTATTTGATACAAGCATATGCATACAGCCATAGGCAAATGTTTGAACACCCCCACTAAGATTACATGTTTTGTTGATTGTAGTGAAAATGAATTAACTCACCCTCTACAGGGCACAAACCTGAATGTGCAATTGTTTTACTTATTTTAGTGTATAATCTCTAACTATTTGCTAAGTATAAATAATTAAAATATATAACAAAAAATGTGCCATTACTTTTGCACAGGCCACATTTTATGTTTTATATTTTTACCAAGTAAATGTAGTAAGGTAGTACGTGTATTGAAACATGCAGAAGTGCGTTCTCTGTAGATGATGTGTATTTTCCCATAGAAAATAAACAAAACATGTCATACTTGGGATATTTTAACAGAAAGCTTATCGATATTGAGGTTTCTCATGAAGGACAGAATTTTCTTGGGTCTTTGACATGTAGACATTACTAGGTTTCTTCCAAAACCACTCAAACAAACGAAGGCAGCCAATATTAAGATATCTAAGTCAGGACAATTTATCTGACTGGGGCGTCTTTCCTCTGATGATGAAAATTATATTATACGCAACCCAATCATCTGGAGCAAGCAAGAAATCCCTAGCACAGGGTATAGCAAAGCGAGAGAGATTTTTGAGCATGTCATCTAGCTCAGTGGTTGTCAAACCAGTCCTTAGGGACACTCAGATGGTCCGTCTCTTTGCTCTCGTGTTGGGAGTTGGGATTGAGCAAATATGACCCCCTAGGCTCATGAGGACCAGTTTGACATCGATGTAGCTGAAAACAAGCTACAAAAGTATAAAATCATTTGGTCATACAAGTAGTCCATATGAAGTGCTGATATTGAAGTGTACAGTGTGTCTAAAATCAACTACATAACTAGTGCTTGACAGCACTTTTCACAAATACATATAGACATGTGCCTGACCTAGTTCAGGCAGGTGGGTTTGATTATGCTGTGCTCTTTTTGAGGGGGTCTCAGAAGACTGCGGTTATCCTCGGGGCCTCAGGCATCTAAACTGACCACGTGAGTAATCCAGACATCACTCAGGCTAGGGGCTGTGCTAAATAGCTAAATACAAGTAAAGCTTTCCAGCTGTGCGTTTTCAGTTTCCAGAGTAGCTGACAAGTGTAACAGAACATCTAATGGACACTGCCTGTTTTAAAGACCACAAGCATGGGCCCCACAGACTTTGTTTGGAATTCATTATGGGCACTTTCAAGAAATATGCCATCTGACAAAATGCGAAACACAGATTCTAATGTCTCCCGACCACACTCCAAAAACATGAGCTCAGCAACACTGATTCCAAATAGACACACTCCAGAAAACAAACATACAAACAGAAGCCTGGAAAAAGGTCAATCATTAAGTACTCTGAGGACAGTTAGCACGGATTGCAATGCATGACCTTGTAGTATCACTGCTTCTACCAGGATTATTTTCTAAAAGATGAGCCAGAAATAGTCAGCATAGTCATCCCTGCATCAAAGCACTTCAAGGTTAAAGCAACCACTTCACACAGATCACTACAGCACACTTACAACCCAGCATCAAGCTCAATTCAACAAGAAAATACTATTACTTGACTGTGTCTCTTTACTCCACATGATATATAAGCAGCTGTGATGATTACAGCCACCTCTGTTTCACCTGACTATCTGATACTTCCCATGTGGCACAAGCTTTTAACAGTCTAGGCGACACATCAGTAGACCAGCACACATCAGCATAACAAACCCCAACTGAGGACAGTCTAATGAAATGTAATAAAACTAAAAGACATAATACATTCTAGAGGTTGGTGATATGACAATATGTTACCTCTATCACAGTTACTTACACTGAAGTGTCATACAAAAGTGTGAATTCAATTCAGTAATATAATAATACAAACTAGTTGCAGACAAGTGTATAAAATGATTCTACTATGCAAGGTCTGTAAAACTTCACAAATAATTAGTGGGACACTAGAAAGCTGTAATTAAAATCAAGAAATTTTAGATGAGTCAAGAGTGATTAACAGAGCTGTACCTGATTATTAAATGACTGAAATAGCATCAAGAATTAAGCAACAATAAAAAGAATATCCAGCAAAAGTGAAGATCAAATCTATGAACAAAAATAATGGACAGAATATGTATTCACTTCTTGTTCACAGAGAAAAATAATGTATTAAAATACTGAGGAAAACGAATAGTTTCCAATATTTGAATTGCCATTGTACAAGTTATTATTGTAAATAAAATAACTGTTAATGTGACAAGTGTTTATAAACTTTTGAACGGTAGTGTACATCACAATTTGCTTTTTTCAACATCACAACTATCATCAGTATTTCTAAATATCGCACGCTCCATAGAAAATAGAGATTTAGACCAATAGAGAGCCTGCAAACAAAAACTAAGGCTGTCACACTCTCAAATTAATACTAGTCTGTAATGCTATTATCATTTTTTTGACAAAAAAGATTAGCTTAAATTATAAATGAATAAATTAGAAACATTTGACCTGATTCTTCCTTCTGTTTTTTCCTATTATGTTGAATAAATACAAAAATCATTGTACATAGAGGATAGTTTTTCAGCTTGCTAAATTTGGCATTACAGTTTTGCTGATACATGTCAGTTCCAACACAGAGAAACAAAGTATCCTGATACGTATAGTGTGTTGTGAACATGTCTTCAAATATTGCAATACTACATTTTAGCCGTATCACCCACTCTTCACACAGCCTATATTTCAAAGTCTGGATCACAAGGCGGACAGGACAGAAAGACTTACAGATTTACGGTCTACTTAAAAAAAAAACACACACACACATTCCAACTTCTGCAGAAGACATATGAGAGCTGGAGTGAGGAAGAGGAGGGAGGCATACTTCTCCTGGTGGCGGACTTGGTCTCCTGGCATGCATCCAGAAAGCGGTGAAAGGACTCCATCTCACCGGTTGAGATTCGCACCACGGAGTAGGAGGTGTCCTGTGCCCGTCTGCCGCAAGCACAGCACCTGGACGGGATGGTTTGATATCCGTCCATTCCGCAGCACAGGTGTGTGTGCTATGGCCGCTGCTCGAGCAGCCTGTGTAAGCAGCAGCCAGTTTAAGCAAGGTCACTTCAGAGCAGGGGGGATCAAAGCTGATAGACGGAGAGTGTCACTCGTACAGACTTAAGCTATTAATTCCTGCTGGGCCTCTCCTACACAGGCTTCATTTACTGCTCTCTTCTCCACCTGAGAGTGTATGTGCAGCGCATGCGCATGCCCATCCACACACACACTTTCTATCTCTATCCTCCAGTCTCCTCAATGCTGCACTGATTCTGTATCCACAGCAGAACAGCGCAGCAGAACAGTAGTAGTAGTGCTCTAGAGTCGAATAATGCCAGTGATTGCTGTGTAAGGTGCATGTGTATGTATTGTTTGTCCTTTGTTCCACAAACAGCCAAGCTGACCACCTCACCAGAACAGAAATACTATTCAATCAAATCTATAAGAGCTCCAATGACAAAACTTATCCAAGCTACTGCATTAACAACAAAAAAGGAAACCTAATTGATTACATTAGAGCAGATGTACTGAATGACTATGCCATTCCCAGTAGGACTAAGAAAGTTCCTCTGACGCTAATGAGCCTGGCTTCTCACCCACTCTGCTCACCAAGTAATTACTGGCATCTTTTTCAGGTCACATTGCTCTGTGTCTTAAGCATTATTAAGCACACAGAGCTCCTTATTCATAGCAGAAAACCACCCAGCACGAAACCGCCAACGAACCCTAATGCAGCTTACAGCAGTCTGGCTGTCTCCATACACATGCCACTCTCTTCAATCACTAAGCACACAGAGAGTCACACACATAGAGAAAGAGCAGCAAAGTCCATTAAGACAATCCTGCGTCCACTGCGCCTCCAAGGGCAGGACAGCTGAGGCTGAATGGCTAAAGCAAGTCTGACTTACACATTATGGAGCCCATTGCTGAGAACGTCCCGGACCGTGTGGTCTTAAGAGCAGTCCTCTGCCTCTCCCTCTCCTGTCCTGTTGTCCCTGCGGCTCCAACAAGGGTCTACTGCTTTCTCTGAAGCCTTGGAACAAAATGGCATGGTTTACACAAATATCCTCAACAATGCCAGAAGCACTGGGGGCTTCCCCTTCCTCTCCCACCCTCCAAAGCATTCATCATTGTGAGGGGCGTTCTGGTCCACAGTGCGTCAGAGGGAACTTCACACGAAGAGGGGCTGCTCCTTTCCTCCCTCCACCTCACATGGTCCCACTCACACAAACACAAGAAGCCCGGCCACAGGGAATGCTCACCCCTCCCCATACACCCTGACAGAAGACATGTGGCCCGGAACAGTTTGAAGTCGTTACTATTCAGTAAATACCATGAATTATTCGGTAGCTACTATGAAACCAACATGCAAACTATCACTGTGCAAATTTTAGATAAAAAAAGTACCTTTCATCTTTGAGAGATAGGAAAATCACGCTCCACTCTTGCTGTAGAAGCTGTGATAAGGGCAAAGCATGGACACACTAAATACTCAACAATCATATTTAAAATGATATTATATTTAGTTGCTGAGGCAACTTTTTTTCTTTCCTTTTTTCCAGATGCTAATAAAAAACGTTTTAATTAATGGCTGTTTTGACTGGAAATTAAATAAAATTAACTTCTGCACAGTACTATATAAATGTAGTAATTAGAGTGAAATGTGAGCCCACATACAGGCCCTTTGGGTTCAAGGACTTACACCTAAACCCAAAAGCAATGACTCAATACCCCTTGGATATCCCACAGTTAATTCAATGAGCGACTTCACATGTGTTAAGACTCAAATACTTTAATTACGGGAATAAATATTGCCTGAAAACAAGTGGAAAACAACACAACAGTGGCCTCATTGTAGCGAAGGGAAGAAAAAAAGGGAGGGCAATTATAGGTGAGCTCACGTTCCTCTGTTGACCCACCATGAGCCAGACTGACATGACTGTTTTAGAACATTCCTGAGCATGGAAATCTTGAAAGCTCATAAAACCTGGAGCTGTTTTCCCTTTCACCGCTGTCTGGGAAGAACATCACCGCTATGGCTACAGCCTAAACCAGAAAACACTCATGAATGTGCATAAGAGGTACAGCTTAAGTGCATCTGTGTCACTTCAGAATCTCAGACCGCAGGGGCCTGTCTTAAAAACATTTCCTTAGTGTATCTAAAATCTGGACTTTCTTACACACAGTGAAGTGCACAATAAGATAATCTTGACCTGATAAATATAGAACCATAGTTCTAATCTGATTACTGTGGTCTATTTTAGGAGCTTCTCTCATTCAGTGGTATAGCTTACATGGACATCATCCCTGCCCTTCCACATGTCAATATACAACACATTCTTCCATCAGCTAAATGGAAGCTTATGGTTCCCTATAGACAAGATCACATATATAAATTGATAGAATACCAATGTTTTGTCAGAAAACTCAGAACACTGAACACTAATACTCAACAGGTATTTGACACTGGTCAGTGCACTCATGTCACATGCAGTAAAAATTCCTGAGATTCCTCAGCATACTCCGTTGGTGTGTAGTGCAGAGTATAAGCAGAAATGCTTTTACATGTTAAAGTAGGCACTCTCTATTTCTTCAATAAAATGCATTAATTAGCTTTTCTGATGAACTAAAGGCTAAAGCTAAATGCTTATGCTTCAATATCCACCACCATTCAAAAGTTTGGAATTACTGCTTTCAATGATATAAAACCAATGTTGTGGCACATACTTCTATAAAGTGATTCTACTATGATGCTAACAGTCTATAGGTTTCATAAGTTTTGAGAAGCTGGAAAGCATCGTGAATGAACTAACAATAAAATTAATATCTAGAATGCCTCTTTTTCAAAAAGTGGTGAGAAAATCTTGCTGTTCAAATAGCAATTCAAAGTCATTTTTGACAAGAAACTAGTGCAAATATATAGTTATAGTTTATTATTTAGTAACATTTCCTATTTTTTTACCATGTAAAAAAATCTTTGCTGTTGCCAAAATACTTTGTGAGTAATAAATTGTGATTAAACCATCAATTTATGTTTTGGTGCCTAGTTTATTTTAATCTGCATGTTTAAGTTATTACTGAGTAACAATTATTAATATGATGAGTGATTGCAAATGTTTAAAGGATACTGTATGACATACGATACATACACACATACTGTAACTTACACGGTTATACTGTCAGAATATAGCTATGCAGTTCCTCATCAAATAAGATTATAGGTCTGTTACACATTATGTCCCAGGTACAGCGCTATCATCTTTGTCTGCCTACTACAGTGGCCTCAAACGTCTAAAGAAAGTAAGATAAGAAATTAGAAGAGAAGATGGGAGGTCAAGGCTTTCAAGCACTTAGCAGAACAGCATGGAGAAGATGAAAGCTGTACAGGAAGAAAGAGAGTTTGGAGAGTGACTAATGGATTCTGCTGACTAAATGAACAGCCAGAGGTAAACAAGGTCTTCAATACAGCCCACATGCTGCAGTGAATGACTAAATGTAAAAAAAATACACTGCCAAGTTTATTTTTCTGAACTAATGGGAAGGTGGTGACGTTCCAGAATCATAATCTGACAAGATCTGACCTACAGTATTCAATCGATGAACCCCTTTGAGGGAAAACTGATGTGTCGGATCAGGCAGGCTGTAAAAATCAGTCTAAGGGACAGTAAAAAAAGAAATCTGCGTAAAATCCGTAATTTAAACATGCAGTTCTTCTAGGCACTGTGCGTCTCATCAAAACAGCATACCATTCAGTTACACTCTTAAAAACAAAGGGTTTTTTGGAATGATGCCACAGAACAGCAATAACCAACCCTCCTTCTGGAGACCTACTTTCCAGCAGAGCCAAGTTAATTAGCTGAAGCAGGTGTGGCAGATAGTACTTGGCACAAGACTCTGCAGAAAGGTAGATCTGCAGGACCAAGGTTGGTGACCACTGCAATAGAAGAACCACTTTTGGCTCCCCAAAGAACCATTCAGTGGATGCTTTTTGAAAAAAGCATTTTTGAAAATAAAATGTCCAAGGTTGAAAAACCTTTATAAATTTTAAATAACCTCCACATAATATGAAGTACCTAAGATATTTCCCTAAACCATACATCCAAACCAAAAACCATTTAGATGATTCTGGTCCTTAGTAAGAAAAGAATGGAGACCATGACATTTGGCAAATCTTGGCAAAGAACAAAAGTTAATGAAGATTTAGAAATAAAAACAAGAATGGATACTTTGTGAGTCATGCATTTCTGAAATTTCAGAAACAATCACTTTTCATAGTTTGCTTTGCTTTTGTAGGTAGTCGCTTCTCTATCCAAAGTCATTGATATTGGAAAATATTGAAGGGAAAAATGCTCAAAACTGCCTTCAAGTGCAGCAATCACTTACTACAATAGATTTAATGTGGAATGCTCCTTAAAGAAAAGCCAAGAATATAGTAGTTACTCAAGATGCCAACTGAAAGCAGTCTAGTACAGACACCTCTAGAAATGGAGCAAATGACACAATATAACCTCACTGAAGAGGACTGGGCAGTCACAGAGGGGTGGCCTTTGCCATAGTCCACTTGCAATAGAGACACGTAAACAGGAAGGAGGAGCTTAATAAAAGCAACAGTCTCATTTTGGGATCTGGGAGAGCACTCCCACGATAACAACTGCCCTCGGGCAAATGCAAAAAAATGCTCCAAGTTGCCAGTGGATACGCCCCTGCCTCTTCCTTTTCCAAGGCCTTCTAACTTACATCCGTATGAACAGTGAAAGTTCACTCAGATCCTTATAATGATCGTAACACACTACAACAACACTTCAGTTTATGATCAACAACAACAGCAGACTCTACAAGCAGATGCCTCATTACTTACTCAAAAGCAGCCAACAGCACCACAGTCACTAAAAGGGTCACTTACATCTGTGCCATATAAAGCAAGGCACCTTTGAATGTTCAAAATGCTGTATGTATTTCATACTGTATAATTTCTTAAGTTGTATAAAATGTGTATATGAAGGTGTCAAAAAGGGTTCTTGACATGCCAAAGAAGACATACTTTTGGTTCTCTACAGAATTTTCAAGTGATGCTTCTTTAAGCATTACTTTATTTTTGTAAATCATGTGCAATTGTAAAGAATCTTTCAAGAATAATGTAATAGTTCTTCACCACTTAAAGTTATTTCCTATAGTCCAAGGCAGCAACCATTTAGAAACTGTAATTTTTCGAGTGTATTTCTGGTGTATCTTGAAAACAAACACTTTGTTTCCAAATGTTTGAAAATGAAATGTTTTGTCAACAGTAGTGAGATGGCTTAGAATACAAAATCGTCCCAGAGGTACAATACAGAAGCCTGCCACAACAGGAACAACTCAGTCATAGCCAGAAGTCAAGTCACATTGAAAATTGCACAATGAAAAATACTAGCTTTTCTAGAGAACCACCATACGAGTAGGAAAACCAAGACCTGTGTAGGGTAACTGTAAACGTATAACATCAAAGCTGTATGTGAGATTTTGTTTGGAAAACTTGAGAGAGAGAAACACTGCATTAAGGGGCTATTAGTTGACAAGGGTTAAGGAAGGAAGTTTTGACGTATTGGTGATGGGCTTACAGCAGGCTGAGGGCAAAGGAAGGAAGTCCAGTGACCTTCCTATTGTTCACCTTTTACATTTGCAATAGAAGTGGGGGATTTTTTTCTTTATGTCTCAGTAAAGCACTCGGCCTAATTTTGTGCCAGAGCCTGTGGAGGTGGTATCACATT